AGGAGTAAGTGTTGCAGGCAGTGCCAGTGCTCTGGAGTGCCGAGGAGTGCTCGGGGCTTTCTCTGGCCATGGGCTGGCTCCCGCAAAGGGCCATCATGCTGATACTGCACAACACAGCCCCGGGCTTCAGGGGCTTTGCAAAGCCTGCCAGCAGGTCTTCTGACAAGCTCCCCTTTGTCATGCTGTCCATGTCCTGTAAAGCAGGCACTGTGCTGAGACATCTGCCTTTTAGTCAAGATCTTGCCCTTCCACATCTTGCACTTGAGCCTCTAATGGCAGCTGAGCTGTTGAAAATGTGTAAAGCAGGGACAGAAAGCCGGGCCCTGCTCTCTGTGGAGGATGCACCATCTGTGGGAGTTTACCTGGGACTTCTTGCTCACAGCCAGAAGCAGCGGCCACTGCCTCCTGAATCAGGGCGCGCTGTGTTTGTGTTCACGTAGGGTGGCTGACCAGCTGCCCCAGGCAAAGCGCCTCTTGCTCAAGACCTTGCTTGCCTCACTCCACCACATCAGCCAGAGTGCAACCACCAACAAAAGGACCTCCAGGAACGTTGCCATCTGTCCAGGCCTGGACAGCACGTTGCCACTGCAGCTACAGGTGCAGATCAGCAACAAGGTGTGTGGAAGTTGCCAGGTACCTTCCCACTTTGGGCCATAGCTGAGCCAGGCCCATGTGTCCCACAGCCATTGCAAAAGTGAACTGCAACAGCAGCAGTATCTGGGAGTGTGGGGGCCCTCTGCTTGGAAATCTGCATCCTGACAGGCAGGGCTCTTACTGCAGCCGCAGCTACTTTCTGTGTTTTCAGCGCCAGTCAGAGCAAAGAGCATTCATTTTTATGATCGCCATTATGCCTTTTCTTTCCCTTTACTCCATAGTCACTTTTCTGCTTTTTTTGCTTTGTTCGCCGCTTTATCTTTCCAGGCAGGAGCTCCCCTGCCCAATCTCCCGCTGGCTTAAGTTATCACCCATTTCTGCTTTTTGTCTGCTAAGACAATCAGCAGTAAAATGGTTCAAATTTAACTGCTGATGTCTAACTTCACATAATAGGGCTTTCGAGTTGGCACCTCCTTGTGATAAAGATAAAAACAAGGAAGAATTCACACAACAATGCAGAAGAGTAAAGCACCTGCTTTTCTACTGAGTTTCAATTATTTGTGTGGATTTTTAAAGCTTCGTTTAGTTAAGCACCAGGTAAGCCTGAAGAGTAGACTAACATTGTAATAAAGAAGGGGTAGCCTCCTTGGGAGTTTTTCAAGCCTGATAAAAGAAAAAACGCACAAATCATCGGGGTTGAATGCCACAAGTAAGAAATGGAAAGATTACTAAATAAAGTCATGACAGCAAATGAAAAAGCAAAGAAAATGGATAATGGTATGAAAGAGATTTCAACTGCAAGCATCCTATTTACTATTTTTATGCATCCTGCTCATTTCTCCTCTCATAAATGCTTTCATGTGTATGAAATGAAGTGCTATGGTCTACATTTAAGTAAATGGATCAGTTTGGACTATGTTTGTTTTCTTTTTTTTTTCTAGATTATGTATATTTAACTGAACACATAGAAAAGGCTAACGCATATCCAAATCATGCTAGTTAGCTAACTGATTTAAAGTAAATCCTTTCTTTTCCTATAATACATAACGTATACAGTCACGGTAGAGGCCCACTTTTAATAAGAAGCTTCAGACATTTTGCAGTTGGTAGACTTGAAGATATTGAATTTCTAAACATTAGAAATTTTCTGGGTAGACAGAAAAGGAAAGAAGTATGTATACACTGGAGGGAAAGATCAAATGTATCTTAATCTGAAAATCTTCAATTATTCCTTCTTCATTAGATACTTAAGAGGTCACAGTCTTGCCAAAGTAATCCCCATGTGCTGCTGCTCTGGGAACTTCCTATCCACTGCTTTGACAGGACCAGGTTGGCCGTTTTATTAAGGCCATGTCTTCCAGACTATTTCTGGTATGATGATTCCTAAAGTGTTTTCATGGGAACGGCATAATCTGTACAGTGAATAAGCAATCACAGATGCTACACTTGATCTTAGCCTAAAGGCTAAGAATCAATGCTTAGTGGGAACAAGTTTGTTCCACTAAGTTACCCTTTGGCTAAACTACTGGCTATTAATAGCAAATTAAACTGCATCGGAGCATCTTCTGGCTCTGATGCCACCTGTACGCATGCAAGAGACTGTGGGGACCAGCACTGGTCCAGTGCCCAGAACATGTCCCACTGTCATTTGAGACAGACATAGGGTCTGCAGAGACCAACATTGTTTCTCCAACAATGGAGAAGAGCAGGTGCTGGCTATTTTATTCAGTTTTGCAGGTATATCTATGCAAGCGTATGGCGTGTGAGCTTGTCACATAACACAATCACGACGCCAGAACTTTCCGGCTCCTTCTCCTTCCAAAGCTTGAGTGACGGCCACATAACCCCTGCAGCTTTTTCCACAGGAGCTGCCTGCCCTCCCTTCACCCCTGACGGGCCCGGGAGCTCCGCTCAGCCCCACCGTCCTCAACCGCTCAACGGCCGCGCGGCCAAACCCCAACG